GTCTGATTTGGCTGAAACTTGCAGGGATGGTAGCCTCTGCTGAGGCTGTCAGTAAGGCTAACCACACCTTGTCATGCATCCACAGATGCATCACAAGCAGGTCCAAGGAGGTGATCCTCCCCCTCTATGCGGCACTGGTCAGGCCACAGTTGGAGTACCGCGTCCAGTTCTGGGTACCGCACTTCAGGAGGAATATGGACAGCATTGAGAGGGTCCAGAGGAGGGCCACTAGCATAATCAGGGGGCAGCAAGACAGACCCTACGAGGAGAGGCTATGGGACCGAAACCTGTTCAGTCTTCACAAGAGAAGGCTGAGAGGGGATCTAGTGGCCATCTATAAACTTACTGGGGTGAATGGGTGAGACCCTGTTCCCCCGAGCACCTCCCAGAGTAACAAGAATAACGGCCACAAGTTGACTGAGATTAGGTTCAGGCTAGGCATCAGGAGGCACTACTTCACAGTCAGGGCGGCTAGGATCTCGAACCAGCTTCCAAGGGAACTGGTGCTGGCTCCTACCTTGGGAGTCTTTAAAAGGAGGCTTGATAACTACCTCACTGGGGTCATTTGAGCTTACACTTACTAGGAGTCATATGAACCCAGTATTCATTCCTGCCCAGGGCAGGGGGTCGGACTTGATGAACTGCTCAGGTCCCTTCCAACCCTACATCTATGAACCTATGAACCCCTCTGCCAGGAACCCTCACACCTTCACTTCCTCTATCCCAAGATGGAGATACTGCCCTTCTCCCACCTACCACATCAGAAGCCCACCCCCACCAGGACCTCTCTCCTCCATTGCAGTGAAATTTAGGAAAGGACCAGGCTATGATGGCCACTAGGAGGAAGCAGAGCACCATTTTCTATTTCCACCTTGATCAAACCCTGGCAGCTCCCTCTGTGCCTCCAGATGCTTGGGGCTGAACCCAGGAGTCCTGACTCTCCCCTTACTGCAGAGGCGGGCAATTATTTCAGGCAGAGGTCCGCTTACTGAGTTTTGACAAGCCATCGAGGGCTGCGTGACAGACAGCAAGGGGCAGATAAATATTAATTTTATAACATTTTTAGGGGCTTCGCAGGCCAGATAGAATGGCTTGCGGGCCACATTTTACCCACCCCTGCCCTACTGCTTTATAAGCCAGCTGCTGCTACTCAGGGACTTTAAGGGGAAGGCCAGGGGGAGGTGTCTCCACTGAGGCTCACGTGGGCTGTTCTCACTGATCAAAGGGAAGATGGCTGGGTCTGGTGTGCAGATCCAGCTGGCTTTCTCCTGCTCAGGACTGTGCTGTCAGAGCTGGTTGCAGTCCTACTGGTCCTGGTCCCATATCTGCTCTGAGATCCCCACAGCTCCCAGTCTGGGTTTGAGCAGTGGAGGCCTGAGCTCCTGCAGAGGGGAAGGCCCCAGCCTGGCAGGCTTTGTGCTCATAGGAGTGGGGGGGAGGGGGTAATGTGGGGCAGAGACAGTCCAGGGGTTGCTCTAACCCAGTAAACCTCACTCTCACCACAGAGCTGGGGAAGGAAGCCAGGCTTCCTGGATCCAGCACCACTCCCTCACTTCAACCCAGTGCACTGCCCTCCAGTCCCAGAGTCAAGGTGAGAACCCAGGAGTCCTCACTTTGAGCCCCTGCCCTGGCTGGCGTGGCTGAGCTCAGTACTAAAGACCACAAGCCCAACAGCCGGGGATCATAGGCTTCAGCCAGAGAGGAGACCAGTCATGCCGAGAGCCCACAGGGCACTGCCAGGCTGCTGCTTCTATGCCACTCGGCCCAGCTGGAGGCATTCATGCAACCCCAGGTGATCAGGGTCAACTGGGGGTTTGTCCAGCTGCATGAAGCCCTGACTCCTAGCCCCTGCCCTTCCTCTGAGCCTTGTTCCTCTCAGAGCCAAGCGGAGTCATGGGCAGATTCAAACCTCCCTGCTCTCAAATGCATCCCGGGGCAGAGGATGGACCCCACGCATCAGGGCTTCTGCTCTCCACAGCCTGAGCTGCTTTCCTGTGGGCCCCAGTTCTCAGCAATCCACGTCTCTCTACTTCACATCTCCTCCCTTGTGGGTTTCTAATCCTGGCTAGCGCATGAGAAGCATCTGCACTTCACATGTGTCTGTCTGGGCTGAGAGGTTTCCTCCCTGCCTCACATGCAATCCTGCTGGTACTGTCCCCGCCCACGTCCTCGGGCTCTCAGGAGAACCTCTCTGAGCTTGCATCCTTCCTTCCTGCCCCAGGCCAGTCTCTCCCCAGGGGCTCCTCCACCACCACCCCCAGCCCAGGCCAAGTGGCCCTTATTCTTAGGTCCCCAGGTCTCCACCCCCCTCATCTGGCTCTGAACCACCTCAAGCTCCAGCTCATGGCTCTGAACAGCTTTGCTTTGCATTGTCTCACCCACCACTTCCCCTACAGCTTCGTGGCTGCGCAAGCAGGATGCTTTTGGACACCGCAAGAGCCTTGTTCAGGGCAGAAATCAGCCCCCGACTGACTCGCTGCTCTGCTTGCTGGGGGATGGGGAGCCTGAACCTGTGCAAATCGAGCCCTATGTCCTAATAAATGCCTAGATCGAGCTCTTTGCTGCTCCCATCCCCTGCAATTCTTCTGGTGCCCAGTGCTAGCAGGGATCATTGCAGGCCCCGACATGCTGGGTAGACCTCTGGGTGGGTGATGACTGCTTCCAACTGCCCTCTGGTTAACAGTACAAAGGGGCCCCCCTGTAGGACTGTCCTATTGGGCATGCAGGCCTCTGAAAGGCGCAGTTCCCTGTACCCTATTTTGAATCCGGAGAGGGGAATGCACCCCTGCCCTACTCCCTGTGGCACCGTGCCCTCTAGCCCTGCCCCAGGGCACTGCATCAGTCCAGGCTACCCAGGCATAAGTCCCCCAACCTACTCCCTCCAACACAGCTGTGCCCCTAGCACCCCAGAGAGAACTGCACCCACCCCCCTGAGCAATGCCTGGCGCGAGGTCTCCTACTCCCTGAGCCAGCCAGCTTCCCCCCTGCTCTGGGGACAGATCAAGCCGAGAGAAAGGCCCCAGCCCTATTCAGCGGAGCTGAGAGAAGCAGGGGGGAGAAGCAGGTTACTTTAAAAAGGAGGGCGATCAGTGGCTCCATTTCCTGGCTCACTGGTGGCTGTCCGCACCACAGCTGTGAAGTCCCTACCCCACTGCCACGCCCCAGAGCCAGCTGCATCTCCCAGAACATACGAGGCAACAGAAGGCTCCACATCACCCCCCAAAGGCCCAACCCCACAACCCCATACCCTGTGGTGCACCAAACTTGCACCCTCAGCTCAGGCCCTGCAGAGCTGCAAGGCATCCTGGGAGCCCCCGGGCCGGCCGTGGTCAGCCCCACCCGGCAGGGCAGCACTCACTCGAGGCCAGGGTGCAGAGGCGGGGGCTGAGGCAGCCGTGTCTCTCCCACAGTCCTTCTCCAACAGCGTAGAGGCAGGGAGGGCTGCACCCTCTACCCCCGGCATGGAGCTGTCAGTGCTGCTGGCTGTGCTGGGTAAGAGCCCCTCGCGCTCCTCCATCACTGCCTGCTTCACTCTCCCCTTCCCCACTGCTCCCCCACCCCGGCCCCTTCACCCTCTTCCTGCCTCAGCCTCCCACTGTCACCTTCTTCCTGTCTTGGCCCATTGTCTGCACCCCACTCTGCCCTTAGCCCTTGTCTCCTTCTCTCTCCAGCCTTCCTTTCCCCACTTCCCTGCCCTCTCCCGCTCCAAGTTTCTTGCTGTCTTTCATGTCCATCCATCCGTTTCCCCTCCCGGGCACCTGGGGTCCTGCAGGGCCCTCAAGGTTTTGACTGAGATCCAGGCCTCCACTGCACCAGGTGCTGCACAAACCCAGAGAGGCAGCCCCTGCACTGCACCGCTCCAGGGCAGGTGGGGAAACTGAGACATGCTTTCTTCAGCTCACAGCCCATCCGTGGCACCTCCCATGGGGACCGTACACCAAAGCAGACAGGTGTCCCAGCTCTGCCTCAGTTACTCCCCACCCTCCCCATTCTGCAGTGCCAGCCTGGGGCTCCCTGCAGTGTGCCAGGTGCTGCACTCCCTGACTGCGATCCAGGCCTCCATTGCTCCAGGCTCTGCACAGATCTGGAGAGGCAGCCCCTGCACTGCACAGCCCCAGGGTGGGGGGGAAACTGAGGCAGATGGCAGGGAAGGGAGTCAGCCCAGGGCAGGGAGCAGGGCTGTGGCAGAGCCAGGGCTGTCTCTGGGTCCCAAGCACCTCGCAGCACTCCTTCCTCCCTGCCTGCCTTCTCAGTGTCCTGAGCCCCTGCCAGGCTCCTATCCCTCCCTCCTGCCCCACATGTGCCTACCCAGCTATCACTCCCTCTCACCTCTTCTCTCTTCCAGCCTTTCTCCAGACCCTCCGACCTCTGGTGTCACCTGCAGGTAATGAGGGGTGTGTGGGGAGGCTGCAGGGAAGGGAGCGCTGGCTAAGACAGGGGGGGACAGAGACATTTCCCCTCTAGGAGAGAGCCCCAGTCACACTGGGCTGGGGAGGAGGGTGCCCCCCTCTAGCCTCTCCCCTTGTCCCCTGCATCCCCAGAGCCACTGGTCCCACCATGACCCCATGGCGGCTGATGCCCACAGTCCAGCTCTGGGGCATGGGACAGGGATGGGACTATGTCCCTCAGGGGTGAGCCCAGCCAGGTCTGAGGGACAGAGACAGGCCCCAGGGCACTGCATGCCACAGAGGTCTGTCCCCATCCAGCCCGGGAGAAGGTCTGGGTAGGTGTGTGGGGGGTCAGCCAGTCCTGCTGGAGATAGGGGCAGATGGAAGCTGCTTGGGGTCTGGGGAGGTTGGGGGTTCCTGGGGTGGGGAGGGAGGTGGGAGGACTATGGGGGGTCCCAGGAGGGCAGGAAAGGGGTGGAGGGAAATTGGGGGTGTCTGAGCTGCTGGAGCTCATCATGTGGGGCTCAGAGCCAGGCCGCCCCCAAGCCCAGCAGGTCCCTGGCTTCTCTCTATTCCTTCCCTGCGATGTTCCCTTCCTCCCCAGCCCCCCAGATGCCCAGTTTGGACATGATCCCCCCAGCTCCGACACTGTCGCTGAGCCCTCCATGCCCCGTGAGGGGGCAGCATGTCCGTCTCATCTGCTCCCCCCCAAAGGGGTCCCAGGCTCTGCAGTTCCTCTTCTATGAGCTCCAGAGCAGCGGGAACTGGACAAGGATGATGACACAGGACACAAAATCCTGGGAGATCCCAAGGGAGGAACCACAACGCAGCCGGACTTTCTACTGTGCCTACTCAGTTCGGGGCGGCCCCCAGAACCAGATCCAGTCTCAGCAAAGCAACCCAGTGACACTGACCCTGACAAGAGGTAATGGGAAGGGGAGAAACCAGAGAGCCCTGCTTTCCTCACACTGCAGCAGCGCGGCGCTGGGAGCCAGGACTCCTTGGTCCGAACCCAGCTGGGGAAGCAGGTGGCGGGGTCTGGTGGGTCAGAACAGGGAGGGGCAGGGACCTGGGACTCCTGGGTTCAATCCAAAAATCTTCCCCAGAGCTGGACAGCACTCCCTTTCCCTGTGTGCCTCAGTTTCCCTATTGAAGGTGCCAATGCTTCTCTTGTCCTGCCTGCCCTGGGGGTTCAGAGGTGGAATGGATCCCTGTGGTTTTGGACCTGGGCAGCTCCTGACCCTGGAGCTGTGGCAGGAGGGTGTACGTCTGGGGGAGCTCTGAGGGGAACTGTGGGGAGATACATCCCTTGTAGCCAGGGCCCTTGCAGAGAGCCCAGCAGAGGCAAGGTGTGGGGAGGGGATGCAGGGAGCTGAGCCTGGGGCAGCTTTCCCTGATTCCCTCCTGTGTGGTCCAGACCCCCCACCAGTCCCTGGGCTCTCTCTGGATCCCTCGCACCCAGTGTATGTCCGGGGAGAGCGGATTGCCCTGAAGTGCTCGGCTCCCAAGGACCAGGAGGTGTTAGGGTACAGATTCTACAAGAGATGCCCAGACCAGATCTCTGAGGAGCTGCCTGCCATGGGCACGGGGCCCTATCACCGACTGACTGCTGGGAGCCAGAGCGCTGGCACGTACACCTGTACATACTGGACATTGCAGTTGGGGTGTGAGATCCCCTCCAGCGACAGCAACACCGTCTCCATCACCGTAACGGGTGAGCTCCTGCCCACTTTGCTCTTACCACAGGGATCAGGATCCTACCCCAACCCCACTGCCACCCTGGGGTGACTCCTGTTGGACCCTGGGGGCAGCTGAGACCAGAATCTGGTTTCAGGCCCATTACTCATCCCTGTCTGATCCCAGGTCTTCCCCTCGCTCATCTCTTCCAGGTCCTCCTTCAGCCCCACAGCTCTCTGCCTCCCCTCAGCTCCCCGTCTATTCATATGAAGGATCTGTGACCCTCAATTGCTCAGCACCGGGGGACACTGTTGCTTCAATATATCAATTCCTCAAGGATGGAGGGTCACTGTCCTCAGCCTCCAGAAACCACCATCACTTGCCAGCACTGCAGCCAGAGGATGGAGGCAAATACACCTGCCGGTATGGGAGACTGAAGTCTGGGCGAGTGATCTGGTCTGTGTACAGCAACATCGTCTCCATTGCGGTGCTGGGTGAGAGCCCTTGCCCCTGAGATCTCTCTTCCCTCCTCTGGACACTTCCTATAGATATAAATATATGGGTGCTGCCTGCTGCTGGGAAGACCGAACCCTTACCAAACCATCCCATCTGAGGCCATGTACGCCTCATTTTCCCCTCAAACCTCTCTGTGCCTCTTCTCCCACCAGTGTCCCCCAGGCAGCCCCATTCCCTTCCCCCTCCCCTGTGTCTCTGTGTCCCTTTGTATGAAGGAGGGAGCTCCATGCCCCTGGCCTGCTATGATCCTTGCAGCCATGGGGTATTTCTAGTATGTCAAGGCTGGGTGGGATCTGGTCTCACTGAATCCCTTCTCTCTCCCCTGTCCCCAGCCCCTTCCCATGGTTGGGATTCATCTGAGGGGGCTGGTTTAGAAGTCAGGACAGAGGAACCGACCCCCATCATAGCGACAGGGGAGGGCTCTTCCATTCTCCTCCCTCAATCCCTTTCTTCTTCTCTCCTCCTTTCTCCCCTTCCTGCTCTTCTCCTGCCCTGTCTATCTCCAACGCTTTTGCTATCTTCATGTCCATCCCTCCATTTCCCCTCCAGGACACTGGGGTCCTTCAGGACCTGCATGTTTCTCAGCCCCTCACAGGGGTGCCCAATGTTTACTTCAGCTGACAGACCAGCTGTGCCACCTCACACAGGGACCTGCAGACCAGGGCAGTCATTGTCTGCTTCTGCCTCAGTTTCCCCCCACGCTCCCTGCTCTGCAGGGCCAGCCTAGGGCTCCCTGCAGTGTGCCAGGTGCTGCACTCCCTGACTCGGTCCAGGCCTCCATTGCTCCACACTCAGCACAGACTGGGAGAGGCAGCCCCGCACTGCACAGCCCCAGGGTGGGCAGGGAAACTGAGGCAGATGGCAAGGAGCAGGGCAATGACAGAGCCAGGCGGAGAACCCAGGGGTCCTGAGTCCTTTCCCAGATCCCCAAGCACCTCACTGCACTCCCTCCTTCCTTCCTGCCTTCTCGGTGGCCCAGCTCAGTGCCCCTCTCCGCCCCAGCTCTCACCCCTCCCTTCTCTCTTCCAGGCTCTTTTCAGACCCTTCCAGCTCCGGTGTCATGTGCAGCTAACAAGGACCTAAAATGTCCCTGTCCGGGGTGTGTGGAGTGGCTGCATGGAAGTGGGTGCTAGCTAGGGCAGGGGGGAAAGAGACATTTCCCCTCTAGGAGGCATCAGTCCCAGTCTGGCTGGGCTGGGGAGGTGGGTGTCCTCCTCCTGGTCCCACCACAACCCCATGGCGGCTGCTGCCCACAACCAAGCTCTGGGGCACAGGACGGGGACTCAATGAAGTCCTTCAGGGCTCAGCCGAGCCAGGGCTGAGGGACAGGGACAGACCCCAGGGCACCGCATGCCACAGATGTCTGTCCCCATCCAGCCAGGGAGAAGGTGTTGGTAGGTCTATGTGGGGTCAGCCAGTCCTGCTGGAGACAGGGGGAGATGGAGGCTGCTGGGGTCTGGGGAGGTTGGGGGCTCCTAGGGTGATGGGGAGGGAGGACTATGGGGGTCCAAGGAGGGCAGAGAAAGGGCAGAAAGAAATTGGGGGTGTCTGAGCTGCTGGAGTTAATCACATGGAGTTCAGAGCCAGGCTGCCCCCAAGCCCAGCATGTGCATGGCTTCTCTCTCTTCCTTCCCTGCAATGTTTCCTTCCTCCCCAGCCCTCCAGACATCTGGCCTGGACCTGTTCCCCCAAGCCCCACTGCTGTCACTGAGCCCTCAGCATCACACGAGAGGGCAGCGTGTCTATGGGGGGTCCCAGGAGGGCAGGAAAGGGGTGGAGGGAAATTGGGGGTGTCTGAGCTGCTGGAGCTCATCATGTGGGGCTCAGAGCCAGGCCGCCCTCAAGCTCACCAGGTCCCTGGCTTCTCTCTATTCCTTCCCTGCGATGTTCCCTTCCTCCCCAGCCCCCCAGATGCCCAGTTTGGACATGCTCCCCCCAGCTCCGACACTGTCACTGAGCCCTCCATGCCCCATGAGGGGGCAGTGTGTCCGTCTCACCTGCTCCCCCCCAAAGGGGTCCCAAGCTCTGCAGTTCCTCTTCTATGAGCTCCAGAGCAGCGGGAACTGGACAAGGATGACGACACAGGACACAAATACCTGGGAGATCCCAAGGAAGGAACCACAACATAGCTGGACTTTCTCTTGTGCCTACTCAGTTCACGGCAGCCCCCAGAACCAGATCCAGTCTCAGCAAAGCAACCCGGTGACACTGACCCTGACAGGTAATGGGAAAGGGAGAAACCAGAGAGCCCTGCTGTCCTCATGCTGCAGCAGCACGGGGCTGGGAGCCAGAAGGAAAGGGGCCAGGTGGGCCATGGCATGACCCAGGGTTGGGGGTGTCTGGAGCGGATCCCCTGACTCTGGCTGGAGCCATCTGGGCAGTAGTAACAAAGCGCCCTGGTATAATGGAGGATCTTCTGCCTCTGGGTGTCTGGGCTGGACTGGGCCTGATTCCTCCATGGGGAAGCCCCTTTTCCTCCCTGGGAACAGCTTCTTCTGACTGCAACTTTCCTATCCCTCCCCACAGATTCACAGTCAGTACCCCCGTCCCATAATCCGGCCCCATTCCAGCCAGGTCACCACCTCGCAGCCAGCACGGATCCCCCTCGAATTCCCACCTCACAGCCTCTGGACCCTTCCCAGAATGGCCCTGGCCATAACATCACATCTCCAAACTTGCATGTGATCTCCACACACTCTGCCTCCAGCCCTGCCACATCCCAGCCAACCCCTGAGAAAGACACCACAGCCCTCCCATATCGAAATGGGATGTCCCCACTGCCATCCCAGCATACCCTTCAAGATGACATCACAGCTGCACAGAACCCGGACAGGACCCCTGCATCATCCACCCTGAACACAACCACCTCCCAGACTCTGCACTGCTGCACCCTCACAAACACGACTCGGATGTCAGAGAAAGGTAGGAGGAGCTGGTGAGACATGACAGCCAGGGCAGGGGCAGGTGTGGGCAGCAGCGGGGTCCTGGGAGCCAGGACACCTGGGTTCTGTCCCGACAAGGCAGTGGGCTCTGATGTTTGCAGAAGGGAAGAGCTGAGACCCCAGACTCCTGCCATTCCAGGGAGCTCAGTTTCCTCAGTTTCTCCACCTGTGACATGGCCACAGTGCTCTTGACCCTGACTGGGGCCACTGGATGCTGGTAGCAGAGGACCTTGGAGAAACCTGCCTCCCTCATAACACTACCTCTGGGAGCCAGGGATAGACTGGGCCTAGTGTCTCCACAGAGCACTGAGGATTATGGAAGAAGGCCCTTCATCCCCTGTGAAAGCAGCCTCCAGCCCCAGCTGACTGCACCTTTCTTCCCCGTCCCCACAGGTCTGCATGCAGCACTCACCTCTGGGCATCCAAACTCATCCCAGCCAGGCCACAACCCTGCACCCTACATGGATCACTCTAGCACCCCACCTCTTCCCAGCACACCCTTGGCTGTGACATCACCACCTCCTCAGGACCACACAGGACCTTGGCACCACTCAGGTCCAGCCACAAGCATCCACAGGACCTCCCTGTTGTCCACCCCACCCCCTTCCCAGCATGCTTCGAGCTACACATACTTCTGCAAACCCCCCGCACCCACCACCTCAGTCTTTCTACTGCAGCAGGTCCTGATGGGGGTGCAGGAGTCTCCATGGCCAAGGCTGCTGGCCCCATCCCCACTATAGGGCTCCAGTCCCCCACACATAGAGGGGAGACAGCTATGAACATCCAAAGGGGCATCTGGACCCAGCTAGGGCATAAGCCCCCAGGGAGTGGGGTTGTGGGGGCAGGCATCAGGGGTAAAAGGAGGCCAGAAGGGCATCATTAGACCCATCCCATCCATTCAACACCCAGAGTGCATGAGGCAGGCAGAGTCCCACCCTCAAGGGGAAGGTCCCCAGCTGGGTTAGTAGATGCCTGGCCTCCCCCTGGTACCCCATGGCCTTCTCCCTCCTTCCCATTGGCAGACGAAGACAACCTCTTCCTGATTGTTGGCTTCTGTGTTGCGGGGGTGCTGGTTCTGCTCCTGCTGTTCATGTTTCTTCACAGGAGGTGGAGGGGTGAGTGGAGAGTAAGTGGGACCCAGGTGTCTGGGGGGGCCTGTGCTTACCCCTCAAAGGGTGCCCAGTCAGCTCAGCCCTGCAGGGATCAGTGTGGGTTAGCAAGACCCCTCCCCAAGACCTGTGGGCAGCCGGGGGATCCTGGACCCCAGAGTTTTGGTGCAAAGGATTATGGGGAACATAGGTAGTTGCCTCAAAGAATTATGGGTCATCAGCTAGAGCAGGACTGGTGCAAGGAACTATGGGTAACTGCATGCCACACAATTCCAATGCAAAGGTAGTGTCAGCTTTGGCTACAAAGGATGGTGGGTCAGCAGACCACTGCATGTCATTTCGGTACCGCACACATCCAGTGCAAAGGGCTGTGGGTAATGTAGGCTGCTGTTGTTGCAAGGAATTGTGGGCCATCAGCAGTGATCATGGTTTTCTCTGATAAAAAAAAACATTCCCAATTTTTGGATTTAAAAAAGGAAGCCCAAATCCACATTTTTCCATGATTAAAATGAAACTCCACTAACGTAGAGAAATATATAGCGGTGTTTCATTTTAATCATAGAAAAATGTCGATTGGGGGTTACTTTTTTTAAATCTGAAAATTGGGGATTTTTTTAATCAGAAAAAACCTGGGTCCCTGGCCATCAGCTAGATCAAGACTAAAGTGCAGGCATCATGGCTAATTTGGGTACCATATGATTTCAGTACAAACGGGTAACGGGGCAGCAGGACTCAGACACAAAGGACTGAGAGGAGCTTGCAGGAAGAGAAGGCAATGAGCTGGGAAGCGGGTCAGGGACCCAGGAGTCCTGGAAGCCCTGCAGCTCCCCATAGGAGCGGATACCCACCTCAAGGGAAT